TTGGCTCTTTTAGGACTCGTGGACTTCAACTCCCAGAATTCCTGAGCCGGCATGGCTCAGCTTGGAAACCTCCCCCTTTCCCCTCAGCATGGCTGGCTCAGGAATTCTGGGAGTTGAAGTCCACCAGTCATAAAAGAGCCAAGGTTGCCTCCCTGTTCTAGTCCATGAGGGCAAGTGTCTTCCTCTGACTATTAAGCCACTGGGGGCTCCTCCCTTTTTTTGTCTGATTGTTTTATATGATTGTGGGTAAGGCTAAAAAGTAAGCATAATAGGGAGTCAGTTTGGTGTAGTGGCAAAGCCACCAGCCTAGAAATCAGGAGACTGGGAGTTCTAGTCTTGCTTTAGGCAAGAAGCCAACTGGGTGACTTTGGGCTAGTCCCTCTTTCTCAGCCCTGGGAAGAAAAAAACAATGGTGATCCACTTCCAAAATCTTGCCAAGAAAACTGCAGGGACTGGTCCAACAGTCACCCAGAGTCAACACGGATCCAAAGGAATAAAAAAAAGCAGCCAAAAAAAGGAATAAAACTACATAAGCATAAAATTAATATAACAATGATATAAATAACAGTGACAATCACTAAGATTAGGTGTTATTATCAGTCCTAGATGGGACAAATACTATAGAATGAATAGAAGCACAACGTTGGACAATGGAAGGATACATCAGAGGCAGCAATACTTTTCAACCAAAATATCTCCAAGAAATATGATTCTAGCTTTCAGTGATATATATATATATCTCAACCCTGGCAACTTTAAGATGCATGGGCAACTCCCAGAATTTCCTAGCCAGCATGTATCTGCAATTTGCCAAGATTGAGACAGTCCTTCTTACTAATTTCTTCAGCCATCTATGAAAATGTTTTTATCTGCTTTTTTATCCATTGATTTGTTTTTTATCTTTTCTTCATGCTTGACCATTTATTACCTTTTATCTAAACTGTAGGTCTTTGCACAATTCTTTGGTCCCAATTAACTTCTGTAGAACTTCCATTTTCCTTTTCAGGTTTGGTCTGGTTTCAGTTTCACTTTAGAATATTTTCTTGTTCCTTTGAGCTGGCGCTATCTCTTTGATAAATTGTCTTATCTTATTAACATTGTGTCTATTCTGCATTCTTAGTTTTTTGAATGGTTTCTGTTGCACTGAAATAGAAACATCCCAACACTGAATGAGCTTTCACTAAGAGAGGACATATGAGATGGAAACCATAGTTATCAAATGTTCGAATCAGTAAGTCAGTAGAATTTTAGTAACCCCTGTGGTATTTGCAGATTACTTTCTTGTCAATTCCACTCTTGTCTATTTTTAACATAGAGATGTTTTCTGTAGGAATTCCCCAAAGACATTTGTCCCAGCATTTCCTGTATTTGCCAGCAAAATCGAAGCAAAAATGCATTGCACTCTACTCTTCATTTTAGTGATGTTTATGTCTTTATTCTTTTTAAAAAAAATTGTGCTAGCACTTTAGCCTGCCTTTCTTACAGTAATGTAAAGAAGAGAGACATGTTTTTTCTCTCCTCCCCTTGTTTTACTGGACAATGTAACCTTGGGACGTCGGTGGGTCCTTTTTCTTGAACTGAGACAAAGTGATGAACCCAAAGACATGCAGGCTTAGTGACCACTCAAAGTTCTGATGGATCCAAAACAAGGTACTTATGACCAGTATTCCAAGTTCTGACAGCTGCTCCTTCCCCCCTCAGGTCACATGATTGCATTTTGGGTGCTCAGCAATTGTCATATCCCCACAATTTTTTTGCTGGACTTCTGGTTTCCGGGGGGGGGGGGGGAGAATTGCCTGTTATGTGGAAGAGATTTGCTTAATGACCATAACATTTGCTTAATGATTGCTCCAAAAAAGTCATAAAATCAGGTGCAATCATGTGGTGACTAGCTTAATGATTGGCATGATTTACATGAATTATAAGTTATAAGTCAAGGGCAACCAGTACCATGCCTGAGCTTCATATGGTTCATGGTTTATTTGGGTCCATTTAGCTGCTGTTGTTGTTCTTGCAGGTCTAGCGTCATTATTTCCTTCACTGCAGAATCCACACTGAGCTTCCGTGAAATATTTCCTCTGATAAAACATCCCCAAGGGACGTGCACAGCTCTCTCTGGCCTTGTTTGCAGAATGAAGCTTGCCCAAGGGCAATGTGGGTGATGAAACACCTGGCTGGACCAATATAGAAACCACTGGGGGTAAACAATTTGAGTCCTCCTGTCAGAAAAGTCCCAAAAGAGAGGGAGGGGCAGAGCAGAAAAGGTAGGCAGAAGTCCCAGTCAAGTGTATGCATTGCTGGCTGTGGAATTCTGGGAGTTGAAGTCCACATGCCTTAAAATTGTCAAGGTTGAGAAACACTGGTATGGATGGTGGTGAAAGAAATGGAACACTTTAGCAAAATGCTTTTTTTTCTCCTTTTTCCTTTGGAATACTGTATAGGATGGAAGGCAGTCTTTGAAAACCTGGCTTTGAGAGATAATAAAATAATAATGAAATAATTAAATATAATAAAACAAGAATAACATAAAATAAGTGTTGTGCTAATCACCTGTTATTTGAGCTTTTATTGTTGAACCAAGGGGAAGTCTGCTCTTTTGCTGATAAACCGCTTTATCCCCAGTAATCCCCCCCCCTCGTTATTTTACCATTACCGCAGGGCTGTCAATAGTTTTATTGCAAATTTTATACCCTTAAAACATTCCATAATTAGTAACTGTCACAAACCAACTCCTACAGCTCAGTAAGTAAGAGAGAAAACAGGGGAACGGTCCTCGCATCAGGATCATTCGTGTTGCTTATAAAGATTTTAAAAAAAACCATATTTTTATAGGGTATGTTCCCTAGTTTCAGACATTTCCCGCAGCAAGTGGAAAAGCCAGTTAATTTAAATAAATACTAAAATTAAATAATAAAATTAAAAGGTGCCCAAAGGACAACCGCGCGCAATGATGTCAATACAACCTTCACGGTGCCAATGATATACAGTAATTTGTATAATTCCACCCATGGCTTGGGGTATCTATGAAAGTACTACAAGCCCTGAGTGGAGAAAGGAACTGAGCTTCTCACGAGGCTAAAAGCCTTTTTCACACCAATAAGAAATGCACTTCATTTCACCTTGGGAAAAAAAAAAAAGATGTTCCCATTTGTTTGCCAGAAATTCCTAAATCTCAAATTAGGATGCCTGGGATCACTCAGTAGAGAAGAAGAGAACAAGACATGAAAAAGATACCAAACCTATTTTTGCAAAGTATATATTACTCTCCCCCCCCCCCCGTGTGTTTGTGTGTGTGTGTGTGTGTGTGTGTGTGTGTGTGTGTGTGTGTGTGTGTTCCTTTTGTCTTTGCCCGGTGTGTTTAAAAACAGAGTTTAGAAAAGCAATAGCTCCTCTTAGAGGCAATGAAAAGGAACAACCTTTATTTACTTTTGCTAAACTGAAAGGAACCTTTTATTGGCGGGATTCACATAACAGCTAAGAGGGCGGGCAGGGGAGATGGTCTACATAAGAAGTAAAACCTAATGGGAAAATAAATAGGTTATATATATGGTAGACCAGCGTTTTTCAAACTTAGCAACTTTCAGGTCTTTAGATTTCACCTCCCAGAATTCCCCAGCCAGTATGGGAGGAGTTTGCTATCTGGGTATTTTGACTAGGGTAGCAAGACCATCCCTTGTCAAAGACTTTTAGGTACTAAACAGCCCCTATTGGCAAACAACGCAGCACCCACAATATTGGTAGCTGTGCTAAAGAGATTCCCATCCACCAACATGCTGGCTGTTCCTCCCCCCCCCCCCTTTTTATATTTTATAGTCTTCAGGGGCAGCCCCATGTAGAACTCTTTGAGGTACTGCAATAATGTCAAGAAGGAATGAGGGTGTAAGTTACTCTGGCTAAAGCCTCCCTCTCCATATATTAGAATATAATATATGGAGAGGGAGGCTTTAGCCAGAGTAACTTACATCCTCATAGGTTGTTAGATATTTGTACAATATAAACATAAACCAAATACCCTGGGTTCATTGAAGATAGCCAAAGTTAGCATTAACCAAGCTACACATGTTAGCTATAAATGTTGCTATTGGGTCTTTGTCTGTCCTGGTTAAACAAGATGTGAGCACAATGTGAGCCAATGAAACACACACCCAAACTGATAGGCGTTTTGGCAGAACTGTATTACGTCCCGCTCAGATCTTTGTCAAGTAACCCTCTATTTATTTTGAAAGAAGAAGAAGGAGGAGGAGGAGGAGGAGGAGGAGGAGGAGGAGGAGGAGGAGGAGGAGGGGAAGAAGAAGAAGAAGAAGAAGAAGAAGAAGAAGAGAAGAAGAAGAAGAAGAAGAAGAAGAAGGAAAGAAGCAGAAGAAGAAGAAGAGGAAGAAGAAGAACTGAGGGAGGAGGTAGGAGGAGGAGGAGGAGGAGGAGGAGAAGAAAGAAGAAGAAAGAAGAAGAAAGAAGAAGAAGAAGAGAAGAAGAAGAAGAGGAGGAGGAGGAGAAGGAGGAGGAGGAGGCGGAGGAGGAGGAGAAGAAGAAGAAGAAGAAGAAGAAGAAGAAGAAGAAGAAGAAGAAGGAAGAAGAAGAAGAAGAAGAGAAGAAAAGAAGAAGAAGAGAAGAAGAAGAAGAAGAAGAAGAAGAAGAAGAAGAAGAAGAAGAAGGAGGAGGAGGAGGAAGAAGAAAGAAGAAGAAGAAGAAGAAGAAGAAGAAGAAGAAGAAGAAGAAGAAGAAGAAGAAGAAGAAGAAGAAGAAGAAGAAGAAGAAGAAGAAGAAGAAGAAGAAGAAGAAGAAGAAGAAACTTTTTGTTTTGCCACCCAAACATCGTGTCTTTCCTTCCCAGACAACTTCCTCAGCCTTGTAACAGCAAGTCAGAGAGGACACCTCTTCTTCTCCGGCCCTTCCCTTCACTCTAGAAAAGTTAAAGGACCATCCTTTCCCCGAGATTCATTTCTCCCAACACAGGTCCCATGGAATCTCCCGAGAGCAAAGAAGTAATGAGACACACAGGCAGCCATCTACTGAAAATTTTAATGAAACAAATAAGTTAATAAGTTAATAAAGTGAGGTAACTATGCATTGTCTCAGAAACAAAATTTATTAGGAAAACTACCCCGAGGCCCACTTTATTGTCTTTGGCTGTCAAAGCCATCCCCTGCTCCCTTCCTTTCCCTTATTGCCCTTCACCATGCAGCCCCTCCCCTATTTCTAGAGATGACCATCCTGGATGAAGACTTGGGAGTGCTCTCCAAGGAGGGTGTGTTCAGTGCATTGAGAGAGAGGAGAAGAGTCATAGTTTGATGGGGGAAAAGCTGGGAACAGCTCTCACCATTTCTTCAAGACACATGCATGGACATGCAAAGTGAAGGTGCAGTTGGGCAAGTGGGGGACTTCGGACATGCAGCCTAAAGGAGGTGTGAAATGGAAGCTGGGCATGTTCTATGGGACAACTCACCCACCACGGTGTTGGTGGAGCTAGCTCTGAGAATATGGGAAAGTCTTCCAGATTTCATTCTGTTCTCTCCCAGTAGGTTAGCCTTCTCCCACCAGACACCCTCCAGATGTGTTCTATCACCATTCCCATAATGCCCAGCCAGCTGCCATGCGAGCTATAGCTCAATACAATTGGAAAGCCAGTTTCTATGCAGCAATCATAAAGGTGGGAATGACAAATGAAGACATTCAATAGAAAAACAGGACTTCTGTTGGTTCTCTTGTTTGAAGTTAACCAGACAACCCACCCAGGAGCAGATTTCGGTAGCTAATCAGAGACCCAAGCAAAAGAACTGGAAGGAAGGGACTGTTTGGACTTAGAACTTGTTCGGGGATGGGTCTGTGGTTTAAAAAAGTCCAAGTGAATGACCTTTGGGAAGAAAACCGTAACCACACTCGGTCCCAGGAGCAAGAGTAGAGACTCAACAAAGAAGTCACAGACAATCCTGGCTGTTGATCTACTCATACATATCACACCGTGTTCAATGTAAACCTAAGAGTTTTCTGTTTTTCAAATGCTGGGCTCCCAAACGTAGAATGTGTCAAGAAGGTTCTGCTTGTGTCATTGATCTTTCTCAAGACCAAAGTACAGCATGAAAGCTGCAGAAATTAAAACTAATGTAGAAGGGCAAGGAGGAAGGTGAGACCTGATGTGTATCACCAGAGAGGCAGGTGGAATAATGGAACGATTGGAATAATGGTGCTTCATATGTCCCTCAACCTTAGCTACTCTACGTTGTGTGGACTTCAACTCCCAGAATTCTCCAGCCAGCATGACTGGCTGTTGAATTCTGCAAGCTGAAGTGCAGATCTTACATTTGATAAGGTTTGAAGAACGTTATCCTAGAAGGACTGCACGGGGGAATGTCTCCAGAGAAACCCTGGATGGAAATAATAATCCAAGGGTCTTCTGTTAGCAATAGAAGGGGTGTGCTCACAGCTGGTAGGGAATTGCAGTCTAAAGCAATGGTCCCCCAACCTAATGACCCCAGATAGGTTAAATTTCCAAAGCTTTTCATTTCAAGCCCAAGCAGTCAAGATTAGAATCACCGTCCAAACCCATTGGAGGACCTCTGCTTGAGGTCTACTCAAAAGCTACATCAGAGCGCTGATAATTCTACAAGTGTATAGGACCTGAGCCAAGCTCTACCTTAATTCACTGCTGTTGAACAAATGGGAAACTCACACACACACACACACACACACACACACAAACACACACACGCAATTCCCTGGGAGAGAGCAAAATTCAACTCTCCCCCCAGAGACGGCAAGCTGATAAAATTCCCCCTGAGAACACCAGGCCCCATTCTACTCTTGGCTACCTAAACTGGGTTTCCTTCAAAGGTGCTCCTGAAGAGCGCCAAAGGGTCCCCAATCCCTGCTTACTTCCTAGGCAGAGAAGGCACCTTAACCGCTGCTGAAGATTGGTTTCAGGTTGCATATTCAAGAATAGTTGCATATAGTGATGCCCATCTCCCCCTGGCCATGTTTCCATTACATGGCAGGTTCCACTCTGTGCTCATGAACCCAGGGGCCATAAAGCAATGCCTGCTACCTGGTGGAATGGGGAGCTAAAAGAGAAGTAGAAAGGTGCTTCAAGGCTGCCAAGAGTAGGGTTAGGCATTGCCAGTCATTAATTGCTTCTAGATGCAAAGGCAAGAAACCACATTCAGTCAAGTTGCAACGTCCCTTGCCGAGCACGGCTTGAAGAAAAGAATAACCTAGCTTTTGCATAGCTGAAAAAAAAAGCATCTCCAACCTGGTTGCCCAGTGAAGTCAAAGTCCAGAGTCGGTGGCTGTCATTCCATGGCTGTCACCATTTGCATGGTTTTCCTTGATGAGTTGGCCATCACAATGACTCAAGAGTCCAAAGTGGCCATTTCATCTTGGCTGCTCTTTTTCAAAAGAGAATTGAATTATTCGGTAAGCCTGGAGGCACCTGAAAACGCTGGAGTTAACTGGGAACCATGGCAGATGTCTACAGGAGGCTGAGAGGCTAAAGACAGATTCCTCTGCCCATTTTGTCAGACTAACAAGACTTGTCTCCCAACAGAGAAAGCTGCTGGCTGACTTTTACATTCTATCACGGCCACCGTAGGAAGCCCAGAAGCACTGTCGAAGTTACGACTGACAACTGATGGGTGCTGGGACCACCGTTTGTCTACATTTGCTCTAAATGCTCTGGTGCTAGTGGCTTTGCCTCCAATTGGAAGACTTCAAGTATAGTTGAGGTGATCGTTCTGGTGCAAAGGCGATGAATCTGATGAGGAAAGACCAACAGGGTGAGGCTGGAGAAGGTTTCGGCTGAGTTGAGCACGCTCCGTAAGAGTAGTCAGGAATTGTCTCCCAAGTCCTCCTTCGAAGGAAAGATTCCCTCCCAGCCTCTCCTCCCTGCATGTAGCTGGTGTGTTGCTGTTACACAGCTAGTCTGGGGAGGCCATGTTAGTCAATGTTGGTGCTAGCCGATCGGGAGATGTTCAGGGTCTGAGCAGAGACAGAGATGTCTTCATGGTCCACAGGACTATGATAGTCAGAGGTGATGTCCCGTTCCTCAGTGTGAACTGGTATAGCGGTCAAACTAATGGAGTTGATGGAACCCTTCCGTAGGCACTGGGAGTAAATGCCTAGCAACAAGTCCAGCTTGTGCTCAATAGACTCAACCTAGAGAGAGAGGGAGGGAGGGAGGGAGGGAGAGAGGAAGAGAGAGAGAGAGAGAGAGAGAGAGAGAGAGAGAGAGAGAGAGAGAGAGAGAGAGAGAGAGAGAGAGAGAGAGAAAGGAAAGCCTCTAGTGGAAGTCACAGCGAAGTCACATATGACATGAAATAATGATGCACACAATGCAGATTACTCGATATATGCCATCTGCATGAAAATGTCATTGTGCGCTTGATGTCACTTTGAGATTACCTCCACAGATGCTCACCATGCTTTAAGGGGTTGAACTAGAATTGGGGAAGGCCAAGTTCAAGTTCCATCCTTAGCTATGGAATCTCCCTGGGGGATAAATCACCCACTTTCAACTCAACTCATTTTAAAGGGAGGAAAAAATGAAGGAATGCATGTTAGGAATACCACCAAGAGATTTTAGACAAAAGGGGGGGTGGAAATCTAATAATCAGAGAGATGAAATAGAAGATCCAAGCAGTGGCCTGATCACATCATGTATAAGGAGCCCACCTCCCTCTCCCCACTTTCCCTCCAGGCCAGGCCTCACCTGCTTTTCCACCTTTACCACTCGGCCCATCATACTGAGTTCATCCACCAGGTCAACCTCCAATGGTGCTTTTTCCCCTTTCTCCCGTGTCTTCTTATCCATGGTGATACCTCCCCGGCCCACAATCTGATCCACACTGGAAAGAGTGAAGAGAGAGATGCAGGGGAGAGAACATCAGGTGAAACAAAATGAGGCTCACTTGGAGAACTAGATCAAGGCAAGGTCCCCCTCTGAAAATTCCACCTGAAAGAGTTTTTTTCTGTCTAAAAATTAGAGGTTTCCTTCACTTCCTAATTTTAATATACTCTAGAACTGTATATCCCCAACATTTCTGCTTAAAAATAATTGCAACAGTTCTCCTGAAACCTAAGTCTCTAATAGCAGAAGATGGGCAAGGACCAACTGCTTTTGCTTTCCTGCCCAAGTGGTTGTGCAGATGTTGACCATCTTTGTCATCGGGACTCTTCCAGTCTCTCATAGTATCTTGTCTGCAGCAGCATCATAGCTGTATGAAAGAAACTCAAGTCTTCTAAGTCCAACTCAACCAATGCTGGCCAAAACTGTAGTTCAGGGGCCCCCAACCCCTGGTCCGTGGACCAGCACTGGACCGTAGCACGCCAGCAACCAGGCCCCGCAAACAAGCGAAGCCCCATCTGCATTATGCAGGCAACACATGAAACCACGCCTCCCTCCGGTCCGCGGAAAAACCTCTCTCCATAGAACCGGTACCTGGTGCCCCACAGGTGGGGGGCCTCTGCTGTAGTTGTTTCTGAACATGGTTGAGGTCTTGCCACCACTAGCGGCACAAGTTTCGGCTTTTCAAGTTGCTGGGACAATAACCCCGAGCTCCATTGAGCTCCCATCTTTGTCCTCACCGTGTCTGGAGACTTTTGATTCTGCCAAGCATATCCAGGTGGCCAGCTGAGTATTGCTCAATCACATCCTTAACATCATATGGTCTCAGGGTCTCCTTGAACTTTCTTTTGGCTACCAGGAATTTAAGAATTCTGCAAGAAAACATGCTTTTTTTAAAAAAAAAAAAAGTTAAAATGAAAGGCACCAAAGTCTGGAGGAGAGATCTAGGTAATCTTTTACTGCTCCGGGTAACCTTGCATGGCATACTCCCATTTAGTAAGTGCTCTTCAGAACTGCTGGTGGGGAGGGAACTCCTTAATCATAGTTGCCAAAAATGCATCCTGAAAGCAGGAGATGCTATGGCCCAGTCTTCTCCAAACGCAGCGTCCACAGATTTAATCACCCATAATTCTGAGCCTATAGAACAGGGGTAGTCAACCTTGGCTCTTTTATGACTCGTGGACTTCAAATCCCAGAATTCCTGAGCCAGCTTAGCTGGCTCAGGAATTTTGGGAGTTGAAGTCCACGAGTCATAAAAGAGCCAAGGTTGACTACCTCTGCTATAGAACAAATAGACTTTCATATTTAGAGTCAACCACTTCAACTGAAATTCAACAAAGACCACAGCAAAACCTAAGATGTTAACTAAATGATTCAGTTATAATCACCCAACCACTTTGTTCTCCATTTTAAAGGCCCACAAGGCAAAAATTGCATCAGTGTCAACACAGAACATAGAATTTGTTGGGCTCTCCTACTTAAAGTTTCTCCTACTTGAAGAAAAGCAGGCACAATTTTTAAGAGCTGTTCTGGGGCTGACCTGAATACAGTGGTGGCAGCAATCAGAGCTGAAACAGGTACCCACTCCATCTATAGCCTAAGTCTTTAGTTACTGGTGGAGCATTCTCCCAACGGAAGCTGATAGGCTACCAAAAATGCCTTGAAGGACAGATGGGCATAGGGCAACCCATCTCATGGATCAAACAACTTCAAGGAACAAAAGAGAGACCATTACATCTTCTACTGGTGAATTTCATTGTCATCCTTTTCTTACTGGAATCTTCCTCTTAGTTTGCAGGGATTTCTCCAAGGAAAAGTATATATTCAGCCATGAGACATTTCCCTTTCTTCCCTTAAAGCCAACTGTGAGTGGCTTTCATTTCAATTTCTTTAATCTCAAATTCTCTTGAGAGCAACATCTGGGCTGCAAAAAGTCTACTCTATTTGGCTGTGCAATCCCAAATGCTGAGACTTTGATTTGAGAGGACCAGATGCCTCAAACTAAAGGAAGTTTTCTCTGGAAGCCACCTTGTGGACCCAAAACTGGAGTTCTTGGCTTTGATTCCAACTTTACAACTCTCACCTGACTGCTCGGATCAAGGTCTTTACAGCAGGCATGATGTCTTCAAAAGTCAAGTCACATTGATAGGTCTTCTCCTCGCTGCTTTCCTCTGCAGGACCATCAGCTGTGGATGGAAACATGACTTGGTGGAAGGACTATCCTTTAGTCATTTCAAGATGTCTGGACTTCAACACTCAGATCTCCTCAGCTGGGAAATTCTGAGACTTGAATTCCGCACATCTTAAAGTTGCTGAGGTTGGAAAGCACTGTCCTAGGGGAAATGTGTGGAATATAAACTTAAGAAAGTATTAAATAAAATATACCAAATAGTAAATCTACCACATGTTTTGAACTCTTCAGGAACATGAGAAGAGATGGAATAAATAGAAATAGTTCTTAGCAAGCTTGGCTGATTTCCTCTTAAGATCAGCTACTATGAATGAAAACCAAATGAAAATTTCCAACCTCCAGCTTTGGCTGCTTCCAAAATTTACCGTCCACTGGCGTCCGAGGCTTCAGCCTCAATGAGGCCCGGAACTTTGTCCTGTCATTGAAGCTCCAGCTCTTCTGGACCTTGGTGGGGCTGATGCCTTCATTGACATTCTCTGTACTGGGGGACCGGTGGAGTGGAGGCACCAGATGCTGCTTCCCCCGACTGCCTTGCTTCTGAGAATTGCTCACTCGGATGCGGTCTTTGAGTCCCATTTTATTGCTGGAAAGGGTGTAGAGTGGAAGTCAACTGGGGAACATGTGAATTGGGGAGGATGCAAAGCAATAGCTGAAAGGGGCCCTAGACTCAAATCTGCTGCCCTCCTCTGCTCACCCTTTGAACAGGTTACAGTTTGGATTGTGGGCTTTCCTTTGATCAAGGCAGGGTCATTGTCCCTGAAATCCTATCCAGTTCAGACAGTCCTCAACTTACAACTGTAACTGAGCCCAGAATTCAATTATAAGCCATACTGGTTGTTAAGAGGGTCACCACATGATGTGCCTGTTTTTATGACATTTTGAGCCAGTCATTAAGTGAATCTTAGCAATAGCACTTAGACTTATATACCGCTTCACAGTGCTTTACAGCCCTCTCTAAGCGGTTTAAGGAGTCATCTTATCGCCCCCAACAATCTGGGTCCTCATTTTACCAACCTCGGAAGGATGGAAGGCTGAGTCAACCTTGAGCTGGTGAGACTCGAACTGCCAAACTGCCGGCAGTCAGCAGAAGTAGCCTGCGGTATTGCACTCTAACCACTGCACCACCATGTTATTAAATGAGCACAACAGTTCATTAAGTGATCTATTGTTTACAATGGGGCGTTTTTTGCTGGAAATTGAAAGAAAATGCCAATTTCCAGCGGGGGGGGGAACATCATAAATCACAGTCACATAACTGTGGGGTCCTGCAAATGGCCATAAAGGAAGATGCCAAGGGTTCAAAATGCCATCCCACAACTGCAGGGGGGAGGGGCATTATTGGAACTTTAAATCCAGGTTGTAAGGAGCTCCATGGAGTCTGCCACAATTTTGAATGGTCGCAATTTGAGGTCTTTATGTAGCAACCCCTACATACGGATGAGAATCAGAAGGAAAGTTCAGTCTCCAAACGTGGTTTAACCATTTGGAATAAAATAGCTAAGTATTTTATCAGATCAGCGTTCAAATTTTAAATGATACTTTAGTCCAGTGATGGCGAATCTTTTAGAGACCGAGTGCCCAAACTGCAATCCAAAACCCACTTATGTATCGTCGAGTACCGGGTGGGTGTGGCCCATTGGGTGGGTGTGGCCCATTGGGTGGGCACGGTTGCAGTGGTAACGGCAGACTGGGTGGGACTAAAAAGTTCAATCAATCAATTCCAACTTTGCAAGATCTTTTTTTTCCCCACGAGAAGTTGAAATTGATTGATTGATTGAACCTTTTTTTTTATACACGGCGGCAGAGGCCTAAAGCGAAAAGGTTTTATAAAACCCAGCTGAAGGCCTAGGACTGGGGCGACGGCATGCGTGCCCACAGAGAGGGCTCTGAGTGCCACCTCTGGCACCCATGCCATAGGTTCGCCACCACTGCTTTGGTCGATGAGAGCTTCTATCCTGCGATATATTTTTTTCTGTATAAACGGGCAATATTGTCGTATGCGCATCAGCTGCTACCTCACACTTGCTTCTGTTTTGCTTCTGTTTTACTCTCCCCAGAGTTCTGTTTTGAACAAAACAGAACTCTGGGGAGAGTAGCCAGGAGGGGAAATGATTGAGGGGAAATGAATCTGACTTCTGTATCGCCCTGAGATGCTGCTTGTGCTGGACCAGTATAACTCTGGCCAGAGCATATATTAGTTTAAGTACTATGTGAGAACGTTTTACTGTTTTTACCAATGAAAAATGGTTATAAAACAAATATTTATTCCAGGAATTCTTAGCAGAACTTACTTTCTGAAGATGCATCCGGATGTGTACATTGGTCCATTTTACGTAGATAAAAACAGTAATTCCTTCATATCAGCTTTAGCATGGTTGTAGACAATGTTCCTGCATGCTTCCCCATGCTAGTTTTACACAAAGGCATTTCTTTCACAAGCTAGCACATAGCCAGGATATCCTGTGATGAACTTAGTAGCCCCTCCCACTGACTTGATAAATATAGGATTCACTGAAGAGCTAAAACTACATTACCCATAAGCCATCTCTTAAGGAAACAGTGTTTAACCCTTTAAACGCTAAAAGTTCTAAAATAGTACTTAAGCTACTATATGCTTTGGTCAGAGTTATACTGGCCCAGCACACTGCTTCAAGGTCAATCAGTTGGGAGAGGAAGACAGCTACATACCAACCAATGCTTGAAGTGACTGTTCTGAAAACATCTTGGTTGAACCTGATAGGTCATGGGGGGAAGAGGGGTCAGCAATGGGAGGCAGTTAAGGAAGGGAAAAGTTGAATTTAGGGATTTTGGTGCATGATTCTCAGTTCTGGATATGCATTATTGCCGTACACTTGACTTCTATTAAAACTATATTTTTCTCAACAAATGGAGCCAAGGATGGTTTCTACTTAGAGATTTAAGTGGTGGCAGATCTGAGAGTATGTGGACCTGATCCTCTTGGAGGAATCTTGGGGGATTAAGCTAGGGACCTTGGTTTTGTTTTTTCTGGAGATGTGCCCAATGATTCCTCTTCCAATTGAGGGGCCAAGGGTTGTTAAATGACGTATATCTCTCCCACTACCAATTTGTCTTTGGGGATAGAAAACAAGCATATAAGGAAGCTAAGGCTTTCCCTGATGCACTAGTTTTCTGGAAAAGATTAAAATAAACAGTCTCAATAAAAGATTTAAAAAAAAAGATTTAAAAAAAAGTCTTAGTGCAAATCCACACCAAGCTCTCTGCAGCACCCACCTCATTGTAGAATTTATGACCTTTGGTGCAGTGTGTTCATTATCCATTTGTAAGGTCTACAGGCTGGATCACAAGTCAAGCAGCTGATTTCAGTTAAAGAAATGAGAGGAAAGGGGCCCAAACTAGCTCATGCCACAACCCCATTCATAGTCCGGAGCCCTTTCCAAAATACTTACAATAAAGATTGAAAAGGAAACAAGCAAACAAACCAAACATGAAACGTTAGAACAATCAAAAGATGAAAGAGACTGAAAGACACAACAAGACCAGGGATGCCTGCAGAGGAGATGTTTGGAAGCTCAGCCAGTTCAACGCAAGATGAGCTGGCTAAAATGAGAGTTTTATTTAAGATAATGTTTTGGCCAATAAACCAAGAACATCTGCTTTGATAGTAAGGGAAGGCCTACAGCCCAAGCAAAGGGGGCTATGGAAGGAAGAAGCCATTTCCCCCCAGATAATACTTCTCCTTCCTTCCTAACAAGATATTTGACCCAATAGAAGAGAATACAGTGTAGCTCAGGGTTGAACTGTGGTCCTTGATGCTCTCTGAGCTTGGTTGTTTTCTTGATGACATTTCATTACCTGAATAGGTAACCTCATCAGTGCTAGCTTTCTTTTGCTAGAAGAGACTGGGGTTTGCTATCTATCTATGTAGAATAGAATAGAATAGAATAGAATAGAATAGAATAGAATAGAATAGAATAGAATAGAATAGAATAGAGTAGAGTAGAGTAGAGTAGAGTAGGGTAGGGTAGGGTAGGGTAGGGTAGGGTAGGGTAGGGTAGGGTAGGGTAGGGTAGGGTAGGGTAGGGTAGGGTAGAGTAGAGTAGAGTAGAATAGAATAGAGTAGAGTAGAACAGAACTGGAAGGGACCTTGGAGGTCTTCTAGTCCAGCCCCCTGCTTAAGCAGGAGAACCTATACCATTTCAGACAAGTGTCTGTCTAGCCTCTTCTCGAGGGGGGACATGATAGCAGCGTTCCAGTATCTCCGGGGCTGCCCCAAAGAAGAGGGAGTCAAGCTATTCTCCAAAGCGCCTGGAGGCAGGACAAGACGCAACGGATGGAAACTGATCCAGGAGAGAAGCAACCTAGAACTAAGGAGAAATTTCCTGACAGTGAGAACAATTAACCAGTGGAACAATCTGCCTCCAGAAGCGGTGAATGCTCCAACACTGGAAGTTTTTAAGAAGAGACTGGACAGCCCTTTGTCCGAAATGGTGTAGGGTTTCCTGCCTGAGCAGGGGGTTGGACTAGATGACCTCCAAGGCCTCTTCCAACTTTATCATCATCATCATTATTATTAATAATAATAATGTTCTTGGCAGTGCCTCCTAGGTTATGATCTTATCCAGTTGGGTAATGAAATGTCTGTAAGAAAACAACCAAACTCAGAGAGCACCACGGATCCTATGCTTGCCCCCAATTTGCTTATTTCTTCAAAGTAGCCAGGAGGATTCAGAGCTAAAAAAGTCAAGATGGCAGCTAGAAGCATGTGATTGAAGCCCTGTGTCCTTTCTATATGCATATCACTTGCAACTGTTAGGTAAGTAAATATTTTGGTTCACGCAAGTTCAAGAGGGATGGAGGAGGGGTCAAAAATGTCAAGATCACAGCCATATCAGTACAAATAAAGTCCTGTCCCTTTTTGAAATGTGAAATGATTTTTTTTTTAAAAGGAGGGACTTCAATCACAGCATTGCAGACATCTAACCATCTAACCATAGTTAATTCTAATCAAAATTAACATATATTTCAGTGGCTAACTTTAGCTAACTTTAACGTTGGCTAACTTTCACTAACTCAACTGAGGTGGTTTTGCACTCTCAAGAACCATCAAAACCTTTGCTCTAACAGAGCATCCAGCTTTATGAATTTGTTTAACTAACCAAACCACTTGGGTTCATACCACAACCCTAGGTCACTGGAAAATTAACCAAGTTAAACCTAACCAATAGCAGCCTGTTTAGTAGCCACAGCCAAATTGTATGAGGTGGGACATCTTTATGATATGCCATCTCCAGACGATGTCTTTTTGGGCAAGGGCTCCAGAACTGAACTGTAAATCACAGGAAAACACCAAATTGCTTCTCCTTCTCAAGGCTGGCCTGTGAGTTCTGCTCAAGAGGAGTATCAGAAGCAAAGAGAGAACTCCACAGATCCAAATGGCATTTGGCCTAACAGACCCAGCAAAGGTTTGGCCAAGAATCTGACTTCAGCATCAGATTCTTTTTCTTCCCACCCAAGCAGAAAAGGGTATTTCTGACCCCAGTTTTAAATTTATTTGCTAACTATTTCCCACATGCCTAAGCAAAATATAAATTACAGTCCCTT